TAATACTCCCTACAACTGTACAACAACTCACCCTTATGTAACAGATAATACTCCCTACAACTGTACAACAACTCACCCTTATGTAACAGATAATACTCCCTACAACTGTACAACAACTCACCCTTATGTAACAGATAATACTCCCTACAACTGTACAACAACTCACCCTTATGTAACAGATAATACTCCCTACAACTGTACAACAACTCACCCTTATGTAACAGATAATACTCCCTACAACTGTACAACAACTCACCCTTATGTAACAGATAATACTCCCTACAACTGTACAACAACTCACCCTTATGTAACAGATAATACTCCCTACAACTGTACAACAACTCACCCTTATGTAACAGATAATACTCCCTACAACTGTACAACAACTCACCCTTATGTAACAGATAATACTCCCTACAACTGTACAACAACTCACCCTTATGTAACAGATAATACTCCCTACAACTGTACAACAACTCACCCTTATGTAACAGATAATACTCCCTACAACTGTACAACAACTCACCCTTATGTAACAGATAATACTCCCTACAACTGTACAACAACTCACCTTATGTAACAGATAATACTCCCTACAACTGTACAACGACTCACCCTTATGTAACAGATAATACTCCCTACAACTGTACAACAACTCACCGTTATGTAACAGATAACCTATGTCCTGTCAATCATCATATCATAAGATTTTATATTGTATTTTGACTTGTACACATACATTTATATCATTAATAATTAATTATTATAATGTTTCATTTGAGACCAGTCTCTTGTTATCTTTTTTGCTACTTATTTATAATTCAGTACCATATATACTTTTTTACTCTTTGTTATTATTATATTATATTGTAAAGTGAGGGCTTCTGTGTCCAAATAATTTCCCTTGTGGATTAAGTCTAAGTCTAAACATTTACAAATTATTACCAAAAAATTGTCACGTCTCTGCTGTAGTCAAGCTCCTCAATTTGGTCTTAAAATGTTTCGTATTAACTCACTCTACATGATCCTGGTGTTTTTTATTTTGCTATTTTGCCTGTAAATAACCTCCTATTCCTCATGTGAAAATCCACTTCAATTCATCACTATAACTGCAAGCCTCGATGAGCCTCATTTGACTGGAGCTGAACACTGTGGGTGACGTCAAACTCACTTAATCCAGTTCATTATACGGCCTATTCCACCCACGTACACCTGCCAATCTGTACTGTACCCCTCTTGTCAATTGGAGGAAGTGCCTGGAAACATTTGCAGCTGGTAAGTGACGGCTCTCTGTCTGTCATAACGTGATGCAGCCCGGAGACGAGACGGAGGAGAGCCCGCCATGGGGGAGCCCGCAGTGCATGTCGTCCTATTAACGCGCGAGGCCAACAGTCAGACAGTATTAGGCCAGCGCATCAGCCCCCGGCCAGTCTCTGACCCGGCCCTGGAGCAGGTCCAGCCTGGTTCCCCCACACGCGATACCAAAACCTTTGGAGGATTAAAGATCTACAGGAATGATTTGGGAAACCTTAGTGATTTGGAAAGAAATAATAATACTTTTTTACTGTAAATGAAAAGCCATTAATCATAACTGAAAGCAAACGAGTCTTATGGTTCCGTGTACCATTCGTTTTTTTGATTTTCAATTAAGAACGAAAAACAATAAAATGGAAAAACTGTTTGCTATTTTTGTTTTTCCGTTTTAGTGTCAAACAAACAAACAGATTTCAACCTCTATTTCCGATATTTAATTTAAAGTTTATTTCAAATAACATCAATCATAAAACAGTCTCAGAGCCAATTTTCATTTAGATATTTTATTCTCTTCGGTTTATTTGCCCTGGAATTTCTGCTGCTCACTGTGCCGCATGTGAATTCAGTGTCAATGATGAATCTATACTTGTTAATAAAACTAATTTTATTATAGTTCTATGGTGTCAACAAAAATTTATCACCTCACTGTCTGTTTCTCATCATGGAGTTCAACAACGACTTTCTAAGACACACAAGTAAAAGCATCGCTATAAAAGAAGAGGAAACGATTTTTCAGGTAAATGCTTCTAGCAGAGTCCACGTACCATTCGTTCTTTTGAATTTCAATTAAGAACGAAAAACAAAAATGGGGAAAACGGTTTATTTCAGTTTTCCATTTTAGTGTCAAACAAAAACCAGATTTCGATCTCTATTTCCAATGCTTAGTTTATTTTGCTATTTTATTCACTTGGGTTTATTTGCTCCGGAAGTTCTGTGCCATGTGTGAATTCAGTGTCAACTAAATGTGACTAAAGTGTGAGATTTCTACTGATAAACACAAACAAGCAGCATTTTCACTGAAACTGCACATAAAACGCCTTTTACAGAAAGTATCACAACAAGGTGTAAATGCTCAAATTTAAAAACATGAACCTCAACAATTCAAAGTTGGATCAGTGACGTCCTAACATTAAATCTCATTAGTAACAAAAGAAAAAGCAGAATTTTACAATGGAAACAATGTTAATTTAAATCACAGGTGTTAAACATAAGGCCCGGGGGCCAGATCCGGCCCTCCAAGACCTTTAATCGGGCCCTCGGCTGATTTTCTACTAAAATATTTGAATTATATTTTCCATTAAAATCTTGTTAATTTTCTGTGGTGTTTATCACAGCAGCGTCTCCAGCGTCTCTGTACGTGGCCCCTCCCACCAGAGCAGCACAAATGAAGACTTGTCTCTTTCCAAACGCTCTTAAAGGACGATCGTTTTGACTGTTGACCGTGACACCCTCATCAACAAAATGTCAAAAATGAGAAAAGTGGAGCCGAGTGCAGGATTTTACAAGAAAAACTGACTTAATCCTATTTGCATACAAGTTCATGTTAAAACATTGTGTTGAAATTGCATTTTTTAGGTTTCAAGTTTCAGGTTGTTCATAATATTATAATATTTTGTAAAAGAAAGAGTTCATCAATTAAAAAAGATTTCTGTAATAGATTTGTGTTTCTCTGCACAAATATTTGAACTTATTGTTATTTTTGGGGTTTATATGACATGAGTTTTCTGATCCGGCCTCTTTCGGATCAAAGTCTTTTGGATACGACCCCTGGACCAAAATGAGTTTGACACCACTGATTTAAATCATAAATTACAAATCTCAGGACTTGAGTAATTATTATTAATGGTATAAGACTTATGTACCCTTTGAGTTATTGAACCAGCGCTTCATTCTAAATATGAGTCTTTACTAAAAATAGTTCATGTGAAGCAAAGTTTAAAAAAAGCAAAAAAAACAAATATAAGCCATATGAGTAAAAGCACGAATGGACGAGACTGAGTGTCGTCTCCTTTGTTCAGATGACACTGAATTCATAATCGATGCAGAGCAGTAGAACTTCTGAGAAAAATAAACCAGAGAGAATAAAATATCAAAACAGAAATAGGCACCGAGACAGTTTTTTTGATTGCTGTTATTTGAAATAAACTTAAAATTTAATACTGGAAACAGATGTCGAATTTTGTTTTTTGTTTGACACTAAAATGGAAAAATCAAATAACAAACAGTTTTCCCATTTATTGTTTTTCATTCTTAATTGAAATGCAAAAGAACCAATGGTACAGGGACCAAAAAACATTCTTGGTGCCTTTTTTTAAAAATTCTAAATAATTTTTATTACAGTTCTATGGAGTCAACAAAGTTTATCGCCTCACTTTCTGTTTCCCGTCATGGAGTTCAAAAATGACTTTCTAAGACACGAATGTTTAAACACAAAAACGATTTTTCAGGTGAGTCCTTCTAGCAGCAGAACGTCCGGGGCAAATAAACCAGAGAGAATAAAATATCAAAATTAAAATAGGCACCGTGACTGTTGACTAGTGTTACTTGAAATAAACGTTAAATTAAATATTGGAAATAGTATTCAAAATCAAATCTGTTTTTTGTTTGACACTAAAAGAGAAAAACGAAATAACAAACTGTTTTCCCATTTTATTGTTTTTATGATTTAATGATACTCAGACTCTTATGCAGTAAATTTATCTTGTCTTATTCCATATTAGATCATTTTGAGTTTAAAAGATGTAGACAGACTAATAAAAAGATTACGCAAACGTGTGCGAATGAAACAAAACACAACTCCAGGTCCGTTTTTGACGAGAAAACAACATTCTAACACGTCTAAAAGCTCAAAATTTTGCGTAATATATGACCATAGCCCTAAATTTACACTGAATACCGACCTGTAGTACAAAATACACAATATATTTCTTGTTTATTTCTTCGAAGGATCTAGATTA